TATTGCATGAGTTCCTTGTTTTTTAATGCAGCATAGTATTCCATTGTGCGAATATACCACAGCTTCTCTAGCCATTCGTTTGTTGATGGGGAAATTTTAAAAATTTTTAATCTCTTACTTGCATTTCAAGATAGGGGAAGTTTGAACACGTATACTGGTGATGGCAAGTGTTAATAGAAACGTTGGCAGTTTGAATTCAGCTGCTGCTCTACAAGACAAAGATGAGTCAGTATCCCCCAGAAAAGATTATGGCTTCAGAAACCCATTGGAGGGTCGCCATGAGTCATATCGTCTGCTTGGTAGCAGAGGATCCAACCCCGCCCCCAACCCCACCCCTTTTTCTATGTAAATTTTCATAAACTCTGATTGGCTCATAGAAGTAGAGCATGTTTAAAACACTTTTCTTCATAGTTCAAACTGCTCTGCAAATGATAAAATCTTTTGCAATAAGTAAAGCTGTTTATAATAAACTTATATACTAAAACCTTTTTTAAATTTTAATTGTGATTTAACAAACATTTACAGAGAAGTTAATTTTAATTCATTCATTGTTGCACATGTTACCACCTTGCCCATTCCCCCCTCCCAGTTCACTTTTTTTTTTAGTAAGTACTCATTCATTGTTGCAATACACTAAAAAACTTTATAATGGCACTTGTTTCCATAGATTCATTAAGGCTTTGCTCATGAAAGTAATTGATTAGTAGTATTTGACTAAGTGCTATAATCTAAAATTTGAGAAGTTTGAAATTCTTCTTTTAGAAGATATTTTTATATACACTGTTAATTCACAGGTTAGGGCTTAGTTTTATGAATAAGGTGTTATCAGAGTTTGTTAATACTGCTATGATTTTTCCTGTTTTAATGTGTGGTTTCAATATTTTATTTTTCAGTTGGCCGAAAACCAAAGACCCAGCCATCACCAATTTCCAATGGGTCTCCTGAGTTAGGCATAAAGAAGAAACCTAGAGAAGGAAAAGGTAATTTGGGGAAAGCTATCTTGGAAGTTGGATTTTCCATTATTTTGTAAGAAAATAATTTCTATTACATGCATATATGATAGTACTCATTAATTTTTTAACCAAGGCGTATATCAACATCACTTGGGAGAATGGTTTCAGAAAATGTAGGCCCATTTACTACCCTACATTTAGTCCCATAAAGAGGAGGGAACAGTCAGTTTATATTTGGAATCTGTTTTAGAGGATATGTGTATAGAGCTCATGCCAGCGTAGTCATTTAGAATTAAAGTTGGTTTTCAACTAAGGCTGTATCTGATAAAAAACCTCATAACTGATAGAAGTACAAGATTCAAGACAAGGTGAATTTAATTCCCAAGTGAGTATATAGCATTTAGAAGTTAGAAAAAACTTACCTTATTTTTGCTATCAAATTAAATTCCCTCTCTGCTTAGTTTCATTGTTTCACCCGTTCATGTGGGTCCATCTCGTTGAGGAATTTTTCCTTTTTTTCTTACTTACCCTCTACCATGCTTTCCCTTCCTAGAGATTGGCTCCTCCTGACAGTATAATAAAGTCTTGCAATCCACATTTAGAAAATACATTCTGGCTGCACTTCATTAAGATAGATGTGTTTGTTTATTTATTTATTTTTTTTGGTAGTCCATATTATATGGACTTCGCCACCACAGTTGAAAAGCATCAAGTTCTTGATGTCACCTAACAATAACAAAAAATACAATGTAAGCCTCTTGAAAGTAAAAAAAAAAAAGAAAAGCATCAAGTTGTCTTTGGTCTTACTCATTGTCCAGTTTCTACATGTATATGACACAATTTAAAATAGCATCACCTTACTCCTCATACTGGAACAAAACATATTCCTGTGATTTAGCTTTCACTCTTAACATCTGATAGACCTGTAAAGTGAACAATACCACCAGAGGGGTAGTTACTCTCTAGAACAGTCAACCATACAAAATCAAAAGGGCAGCATACAGAGAAGAGCTCAGAAGGTAAGAGGGAATAGTATAAAAAAAGGATTAATGGAAATAAGAATCACAGAGAGGAAGTAAGAGTGTAGGTATTATAATGTCATAAAACAGTATGTATGAATGGCTGTATGGGAAGCCAATTTTGTTTCATAAACTTCCATTCAAGTAATTTTTTGAAATACACAGGGAGCTCTGGTGGTCTAGTGGTAAGAAGCTGTGCTGCAATCCTAAAATATTCACTCAGCTCTTTAAAAATACAGTGACTAGGGTTTGGATCAGGTGTACTTTAGATGCCAAAGTCATTCTTTTTCATTTTAAAAAGGTCCTTGCCCACCCACTGCAGTATAACTTTGGATTTCTTGACAGTTACTTCTATGTACATTGTCGCTCAGGCTTCTATATAATCTTGCAGGTGCCTTTTGTCAGTATGATACTAGATAGCTGGATCTTCAAAGAGCACAATGCTCAAAGCAAGCCTTCATTACTAGGAAGAAGACTTGGTTTGAGATTGAAACATTATCTCAGAGCAGTAGTTTGAGAGCTTCAGCCAACCTTTGTGGCTTCAGATAATCTATATGCATTGAGAATTTGAAATTTTCTGTATTTTATCCCTTTTGATCAGGACTGCCATGAAGTCTTTCATCTAATTTTGTAAATGTTCATTAATGGTAGCCAGACACTATTCAGTTTTTATGGTAAATGGAGGCAGTTGTTCATCGAAGCAGTTAGCTATACATTTTTTCTCCTCCTTCCTATTTAATCCTTCCTTTGTTGCTTCAGGCAGATTGAAACCAATTGTCCTGCCTTAGGTGGCCTTGCAAGTTTTTAAGACATAAAAATGTTATTAGGCCACTGAATGGGTATTTCTCTTGAAACTGATTCTTAAGCTCCAAACCAGGGAATTAAATCCCATGAGGTGTTTAGTTGTACAGAAGCAACCCCAGGAGCTACCTCCCTCCTCACCCCTATTTTGTTGTTACTGTAAATAGCATTATTGTCAATAACTTCTGTAAAAGGAGTAGATAGATCGTGAGGGAGGCTGAGTCTAGCTTGTACCTTCTTTATAAAGGGAACCTGTATCCATCAGTAATGTCCATAGCACCACACAAATAACTACATAGTCACACATGCCACCCCACATGATCCTGCACCTATTTTTACCAATCATTGGTTCTTATGTTTATTGCAAAACTCACAGACTTAACAGTTGTGGGATTTATTAGGGAAATAAATACGTTGTAGAATGGAAGTGGTAAAGAGTATCTCACTATTCAAGTCCCTCAGTCCCAAGTCACATTAGGCACAATGCTTCAGTTAGTGAAAGTCCAGGTTCATTTCATCAGCACAAATCCAAGAAGCCTCTGGTTTCTCAATCATCCAGCAAACTTTATCTCGCAGTTATAAATTATCTTTTCCGTCAGTCATCCCGTAAGCAAAACCTTTAACTTTGGCATTTATCTCCAGGGTTCCTCTGGTTCAACCTTGCCACTGACTCTTCACAATCTCTCTGCCACTGTCACTGCCCTTCTTCACAGTGAGGAAGGCACTTTCTTATATTGGCCCCATAGCTATTGATGATTTGTGTCTGTGGTTAAGATAGCTGGAGATCATGCATCCCAATGCGGGGATAATACAGTTGCTGGAAAAGCCAGTTTTCAAGGGTTCTGACACGTGAACTTCTAAGTAACTTCTGCCAATTCAACTACATTGGATACTAGTTTGTTGTGTTTTTTTAAAAAAGGAAATAGTTATACTTAAGATACTTACATTTTAAAAAGGAGACTTTGTGGCGAACTCTGGTGGCCTAGTGGCAAGAAGCTGCACTGCAATCTCAGAGGTACATGGTTCAAATCCACCAGATGCTCTGCTGGAGAAGGAGGAACAATCTCCTCCTGTATCAGTCAGATCCGATTTGACGGTACACACACAAAAAAAGATGAAATAAAAGAAAATTTAAAAAAGAAAATATATAAAAAAAAAGAGAGAGACTTTGTATGCCATTTGATGGACAGCACAAATTGATGGACTGTACAAATAACTATGATATTGTTAAGTATTTAATGAATCTTGTATGTGTGTTTTGCCAATAAGAGTTAGGTTGATTTTCCCAGCATAATTATCTGTTTTTAATTGTGTAGATGAATTTATAATCTGTTTCTTCTTTGTTTTTTAAAGGAAACACAACCTATTTGTGGGAGTTTCTTTTAGATCTACTTCAAGATAAAAATACGTGTCCTCGGTATATTAAGTGGACTCAGAGAGAAAAAGGCATCTTCAAACTCGTGGACTCAAAGGCTGTCTCTAAGCTTTGGGGAAAGCATAAGAACAAACCAGACATGAACTATGAAACTATGGGACGAGCTTTGAGGTAAGAACACAAAGACCTAGTAAGCAAACCAAACGTAATTTTTTTATTTATAGCTATTTAGAAAAATCCCATTTTATTACAATTTCTGTAGAAATTTTAAAGGTGCTTCGTAGATTTGGGAGGTAAAGCACTGAAAAATACACACAGAGTGCTTTTGCATTATGGACTATTTCCCCCCCCCTTTTTTTTTATTAAGTTTTATTAGTTTTAATGAACATTTACAGGGATTTTGGGTTTTCACTCCTTCATTGCCGCACCATTCTCTCCACCCTCCTCCCCAGTTTGTTCTTCTCCCCGCCATCCGAATGTCTGTTTTAATTGTCCAATTGCCACAGTGCTTGTCAAAGTCAGTTCTGATTAATCTCCTTTGTCGGTGTGTCCTTTGCCATTCCCTATCACTCCTCCCTGAGAAAGACTTCACCCTGATTCATAAGGAAAAGGGGATGGCGTATTCTCTTAGCTACTTCCTGCTGAAAAGGGACGCTGTGGGTTTCAGGGTGAAGATCTTCTCTCACTACTCTAAAGGGCCCCTTTGGCAGTAGGAAACACATAGACTATTATGGAGATTGATTTTGGAATTTAGATGCACTGTTATTAATTGTGCTTAGCTGTACATGTTCATATCCTTGAAGATGTATCATGGGGGTGTTGGAACCTAGAAGACACAAATTTAACAAGTTATAAGTACATGAGTCAAAAATTATGGAAAAGTAAAAGAAAAGATTCTTTCATTGTTTTACAAACCCTCCCCCAGGTCCCCTCCTCTATGTAGCCATCGCTCTAGACTCCTGTGATGACGAAAAGACCTAGTCACATATCTCTTTTAAACAGTTTTCTCCCTCCTCTGTTTCAGTGCAGTATACATTATTGAATCCATCTTACTCAGTCTCACCCCAATCCCGAGGTTAGTCCCATTCTACAACAGTGGCATCATGTAATATTTGTCCTTTTGTGACTGGGATATTTCACTCAGCATAATGTTCTCCAGAGTCAACCATTTTGAATAATATTGCATGAGTTCCTTGTTTTTTAATGCAGCATAGTGTTCCATTGTGCGAATATAGCACAGCTTCTCTAGCCATTCGTTTGTTGATGGGCACTTAGGTTGTTTCCAACTCCTTGCTGTTGTGAACAAGGCTGCAATAAACATGAGTGTGCATATATCTGCTTGGATGTCAGCTATGGTCTCTTCAGGGTATATTCCCAGTAGTGGAATTGCTGGGTCAAATGGTATCTCTATTTGCAACTTTTTGAGAAAGCGCCATACTGCTTTCCACAGGGGTTGCACCATTTTACACTCCCACCAACAGTGAATCAGGGTTCCAGTTTCTCCACAACCTCGCCAGCATTTGTTGCTTGCTGTTCTGACTGTTTCTTGAAAATAAAATTGTGGGCCTTTATAAAAATAAAACTTGAATGAATTAGAATTAATAGGGTGGGTTTTTTTTTTAATCCGAACAAATCATACAATTTTTTAAAGAAAAAGTTTATCTTAGTTACAAAGTTTACATTGTGTTTCACGCTATTTTTCATTGACATTGTATTTCTTGCAGTCATTCCTATTCATTTTGTTTTATAAAATTAATCACCATTGGACTATTCTCATCATTACTTTTCAGATCCTCACTGGATCCTTCCCATTTCTTTTACCCCCTTCCCTCTATTCACCAAAGTGTGCAACTCTGTGATTTCACCCCTGCCACCCTCACCCCTTTGCTCAGTTACATGATTTTATTAAAGAAGCACCGTTTTGTTTTGTGTTTTTCAGCTTTCTGACTTTGTGCTTGTGCTTTTAATACTTTTCACAATACTTTTCTGTTCCTTGATAAGGAAAGCTGGATCTTGTTACGGACGCACTTAGCACACACGGAATCACCATAAGCTCTGCTGATGTGATTTTTTGGTTTTGACATCATTATGAGAACTTTTCACAAATCCTTCTACGTCGGCCTAGGCATATACCACATGTAGATGTTGGTGTTTCCCCAACCTTCTTGGTATAAAAGTAATCAGTTCTTAAAAAAAAAAAGTAATCAGTTCTGTTACCAGGGGTTTGGGACAGCCTAGTTTTGTTAGACACTGTTTTAAGACAGCCTGTGACAGTGGGTCAGATGCTAGACATTTTGAATGCTTCTAAAAAAGTGTCTCCAGAAGAGGAAGAAGTAAAATTTGTAGATTGTTAATGTCTTTTATAGGTTTTGTAAATTTGTTTGAAGTATTTTCTTTGACATGAAACTTTCTCTTAAGTTTTGTCAGTTATAAAAATTCCTAAATCTCTATAATGGTACTGTGTATTACTTTTAGTGAAGGATGTTTGTAAATGAACATTCATCCTATGTGGCAATATTCAAGTACCTGACAGTACTTAGTAATTGATTATTTCTATAAGTGGTATAAATTAGAACTGTATTTCTAACAATGTTAGTGAAATAAAGTGAATAGTTGTGTTCAATTATTTCCCTTTATAAAGAGGATGTATTTTTAGGTTTATAGATCTCAGGTGTATAGGCCTAAAGGCACCAGATTTTCAGCTTCATTGCTATTCTAAATCCTTAGCCTTTTGAGCACTCAAAGCTGCTTTCTCATCTTTTACAGGAACTCTTAACTATTTAAGTGCAGACAATATAGGAATCATACTTAACCATAAGATTACAGAGTCCATAAGCAGAGACCATCTTGAATCCTTTCATTCTTAAGAAATAGAATCATTATTGCTTCATAATTGCATTTGAGTTACAGTAATATTATCAGATGTACAGATAACTGGTTATTTGATAGATGATACTATACCAGTTTTCCTATTGTAATACGAACACTTTACTATTCGAAGACTAAGTTCTCAATTTAATTTACCTTTGCTTTGAGGAAAGGAGTCCTTTTTCCTTCCTTTGCTGAGCTTTCATCGTTCTTATATGTATAGACAAGGAAAATATACATGAGTGAACTGAATCTGTTGTTGTTGTTGTTATGTGCCAACAGCCCTAAACCCTGCTCTATCCTGTGCCAATCGCACTGCCTCTGACACACCCATCCCGATTACCCCAGTCACTAAATCAATCCACCTCATAGAGGGTCTTCCCCTCCTACACTGTCCCTCTGCTCTACCCAGCATGATGTCCCTCTCCAAAGACCAGTCTCTCCTCACAATATGTCCAAAGTATGTCAGACGAAGCCCCAGAATCCTTGCCTCCAAGGAGTAGCCTGGTTTAACCCTCTCTAGGATGAATCTGTTTGTTTTCTTGGCAGTCCATGGTACACTCAATACTCTTCTCCAGCACCACAGCTCAAAGGCATCAGTTCTCCTTCTGTCCTTCCTAGTCACTGTCCAACTCTTTGATGCATAACAAGTGATTGCAAAGACCATGGCCTGTATCAGGCGGACCTTAGTCTCCAGAGAGACACCGTTGCTCTAGCGGCATTAAAATTTAAGACCAGTTACTACTGTATTGGCTTTGGGGATTTTCTGTCATAGAACACATTTAATTTTTTTTTAATTCGTTTTGCTTTCAAAGTTCGTATACAATGTGTTTCAGATCACATTTCATATCTTGAAGAGTAAGATTTAAAAGAACACTGTATTTCATCCTTGGATGCCAGTTTGAATTTGTCTAAAACCAGATTACACATGAGAAAAATAATGTATAAACACCTAATTTTTTCTTCTTTCAGATATTACTACCAAAGGGGAATTCTTGCAAAAGTTGAAGGACAAAGGCTTGTATATCAGTTTAAAGATATGCCCAAAAACATAGTGGTCATAGATGATGACAAGAGTGAAACCTGTAATGAAGATTTAACAGCCCCTACTGATGAAAAATCATTAGAGCGAGTGTCACTGTCTGCAGAAAGTCTTCTGAAAGCAGCAACATCTGTTCGTGGTGGGAAAAGTTCATCTCCACTAAACTGCTCCAGAGCAGAGAAGGGCGTAGCTCGAGTTGTTAATATCGCCTCCCCAGGTCACGAGGCTTCCTCCAGGTCTCCTACTACCACAGCATCTGTATCAGCAACAGCAGCTCCAAGGTGAGGTGTAATGTTGTAATGTTGTGTTCACCTTTTAGGAAGGGTCTGTGATTAAAATGAAATGTTACTTTAAAAGTATTAGCATTTTAACTCACTATCATCAGGGAATGTTGGTGGCTTAGTGGTAAGGAATTGTGCTGCCAGAGCAAAGATATGCAGTTCACATCCACCAGCTGCTTATCAGGAGAAAGATAGGTAATTTTCCATAAAATATATAGGAAAACTATAGCCTTGGAAGCCCCGTGAGGGTGGTTCTACTTTATTGCATGGAGCTGCTGTGTGTCAGAATCATGTGTGCTAACAATTTTGTACATTTTTAATTTGTACTAATTTCTGGTATAAGAAAGTAATTTCCTAATTTAGCATTAACTATAATTAATCTATTTGTTCCCCCAGGACAGTTCGCGTGGCAATGCAAGTACCTGTTGTAATGACTTCGTTGGGTCAGAAAATTTCGACTGTGGCAGTTCAGTCAGTTAATGCAGGTGCACCACTAATAACCAGCACTAGTCCCACAACAGCCACTTCTCCAAAGGTCGTCATTCAGACAATCCCTACTGTGATGCCAGCCTCTACTGAAAATGGAGACAAAATCACCATGCAGCCTGCCAAAATTATTACTATCCCAGCTACACAACTTGCTCAGTGTCAGCTGCAGACGAAGTCAAATCTGGCTGGATCAGGGAGCATTAACATTGTTGGAACCCCATTGGCGGTGAGAGCACTTACTCCTGTTTCTCTAGCCCACGGTACACCTGTAATGAGACTATCAGTGCCTACTCAGCAAACATCTGGCCAGACTTCTCCTCGAGTTATCAGCGCAGTCATAAAAGGGCCAGAGGTTAAATCCGAAGCAGTGGCAAAAAAGCAGGAGCCTGATGTGAAAACTTTGCAGCTGGTACAAGATGAAAAGCCAGCAGATGGAAATAAGACAGTGACCCATGTGGTGGTTGTCAGTGCACCTTCTGCTATTGCCCTTCCTGTAACTATGAAAACAGAAGGACTAGTGACATGTGAGAAATAAAATAGCTCTCCATGGACTGATGTGGTGATTGGTTAAATATTACTGACATAAATATTTACAAGGAAGTCATCAAGCAAAGTCAAAGAAGACTTTAAAAACCTTTTTAATGCATATAAGAAAACAATCACACTTACTGGAAATAAATTACCTATCCCATGTTTCAGTGGGAATTGAACTACATACTGAAATGCTGACAGAAAACTGCCTCTTACTATAGGAAACAACTGAACCCGTCAATAAGAGAAAGGATTGAAAGGGACCAAGCAGCTCACTACAATATCAAGTTACACTAAGACTTGGAACACTAAAAATCTGTAAGAGGTTATGTAGTTTTCAGTGGGGAGGGGTTGGGATGGGTGATCTCATTGTTACATATAGCAATTTTTGATGCATTTTATATGCATACCAGCAATTTTTACTGTGTTCGCACAGTACTCACTTAACTGGTGCTATGTGAAGACTCT